TCCCTCTCTCTTTTCTGGAAGTAGATGCGGAGCATTCTAGCGAGACATTTATTAACATAAGTCACAATATGATCGCTTATTCTCGTGCCAAGGTACCAATCTATGCATATATTTTCTCTATGTATTTTCCTTTTTTTGCGGTATAATGTCTTCTTTCGTTACGCTCTAATTAAATCCTAAGCGATATAACTACGTCGAACTGTACCGAGCGACTCTCCATTTTTTCGAAATAATTATCAGCCCATAAATGATTTGTCAGCAATTATTTGCATAGAAATCCCAATAATTTTTTCGCAAGCGCGCGCATCTGCGACGCTGGCTTTCGAGGATAAAAGCGCGCACTCTATCGTGAGTCATATCATAGGCGATTTATCAGAAAGGCATGGATGCTTCAAGAAGTTCGTTAAATATACGAGGGCCTGGAGATTGATATAAGAGAACGGGGCATCGATATATGGTTGCACGTCCACCCTCCATATGCGATCAACAGCGACTTCTCGCGCACTCGCATCGACACACGCACGCGTCGGCGTCGGTATTTATAAATAAATACCTCGGCCACGTGCCATGGGAGAAATAAAAATGTTTGAAAAATGCCTTAACTCGATCAAAAGAATTAAGACAAACATATGCACGCGTAAAATATGTATGTAAAATATACGTACACATGTGCAGTAAAGAAATATCAAGGTGAATCGCGACGAGCTACATGAGAAAAAAAACATGCTTATAAATTTATTTGCCTAAAATATACAGTTATTCTTTATACATATATATAAACTATGAGAATGGCAGTGAGAATAGCAAAATTGTTTCATATTATTTCGATCTTTTGCACAATGAATCATTCGCGCGTCATTCTCATCTATTAATATCCCCATATAAAGCGTTTCAAAGAAATTATACGAAAATAATGTATCGCGAGAGATATTCATGGAATGAAATGCAGAACTGTGAAATAGCTGTGAATATGTATCTAGAAGATTATTCGAAAAACCTGAGAATTTCATTCCTAAGCGTTAAATGCGTGTTCCCATACGCAATCCTCCTAAATATGTGGAACAACTAAGAAAATAATATGATCCAGTAAAGAAAATATCGTTAAATATCTATAAATTGTTGTTTATTTTTACTCAGCTCTCGTATATATTAAAATACGATATACTTTGACTTTCATGAATATCTGCTTTAGAGACCCGAGACTTTTCTTTTTTATAATTACGGACAATAATTACGCACACATGCACACATTGATCCTCGAGTCTCGGCCGATAAATCTCAACTGCTGCTCTTCTTCGTCGTTTTTTATGGCACCATAAAAAAGTGACGTTTATCAAGTTGGAGGTCGGTTCCGCCGGTCGTGCACGAGACGTTTCGCACATTTTTCAAAAGCGTCATTAAGAGTACGTGGTTCACGTGAGTACGTTAATTTTTGGCTAAAGGTCGGCTCTCTTTTGCCTGTAAAGTATATAAGTATATTTCGATAGGAAACAATAGAAGAGCGCAATATCACAGAGTGTATATATGTACATAGATTAATGTGCATTGTTTCTTGTTCTTTTGTAGTGGTTTTTTGATGTAGCAAACTTTTTAATTATAAATTTATTATAGCAAACTGAAATTTTATGTAACGCCAATTTTATTTGAGATGTAATTACGAAATGACAGATATCGTTGTATAATAATTATGTAATTTATTCGATGCATTGTATGTGTGTGTGTGTGTGTGTGTAATACAAAACAGTAAATTAGAAAAATTAGGAAACGACGTAATACTGCAAGAGTTGTTCGTAAAGTATAAATACGAATCAATTTATCTTGTTTGAATATCAAAGTATAAATGCTATTCGAATATGACGTATTGTCGGTTTGTATCAATAGTCAAAGATACATAGTGAAATACAGATTTCCAATGTTTACACAATTATCGATTGTGTTTGCATTCACGTGTCGCATTTCGTATATGTAGAAAAAAAAAATGTACACGCGTGCCGAAAATACGTAGGAGTATGTAGAACATATATTCCTACGCCACTTGTATCCGTGTTCAACTTTCGAATGGCCTTTCCTTTTTTGTTGTTCTGATTGAGTATCACATTTTTTAATATTTTTTTAGAATATTTTTTTAAATAGTATATTTATTCCAGGTATTCCAAATTTATCAGGAAAATCCAAGCAAAAATTGATTCTATATTTATCGATGAATCTGTTGGTAATTTGTTGATTAAATTCTCTTTCTCAAAGAATTGAAAGACATTGATAACGAAATAAATTTATGTAGACCGTGTGTGTAGATAAATGGGCACAAAAACATCCACGCTAATATAATAGAATCTCGCGAGAAGAACATGAAAGAAAATAAAACGTCGATAACTGCGAAAAGCGCGCGTACGCTAGGGTGCGGATAGATTTTATTTCATCGTACAAGTAACACGAAGTGAAGGTGGAAATACTGTAAGCCGTAAGCGACCTTGACCCGAACGGAGAGGTTCAAATCGGGAGGTGAACCAACCAGGGTCTTTTCGCGGAAAAGTTGGGTGCGTCCGCGTGCGCCACGGTAGATAGGTAGAAACCTTCACGTTGTGTTTACATAGACTCGCCCTTTTCCACGCGATACGCATACACGTGCTGCACCTTGTTCTTCTTCTTATTTCCCCCTTCTTTCCCCGCTTTACCTTGCATCACGTCATCGCGTATCGATGCCAAGATGATAAAAAAAACTTTCAATTTTTACAAATCTTTCTCACAAAAGAGAGATATCAAAATCTTTTTATGTAATCTATTTGATATAAAACAGATTATTCCACGAGTACAATCGATTTATAAAGCTATCCTAGCTTTTTGTCTGTTTGATTTCGCGTCGAAATAGCACTGGTACTCCATTTATTACCGTTGCAAGAGGCAAAGAGAGACGCAAACATTTAAAAGAGAATGAGAAAGAGAGAGAGAGAGAGAGAGAGAATATTTCTGGTAGTGCAAATAAATTCTCTATTGCATTTTATTATATCTGTTCGATGTTTCTCAGCGCTTTATTTAGACTACAAATCAAGTTGCGCGCTTTTCCAGGTCTTATAGGCCGGCCCATCTTTAAGAAATTGAAGCAGATAATTTAGTTATAGAGAATATATAGTTGCACAACACAAAGTATATATTTTTATTAGAAAACAATAATGTATCTAGAAGGGGGAAGGAACGATTTCGTATCTCCACAAAAAAAAAAAAAAAAAAAAAAAAAAAATTAAATTGTCAAAACAGTGAAATGAAAAACAATATCAGCATTGTCTGTAGTATAAAATCAAAGTAATAAATAAA